TTGAAGTTCTCACTAAGTTCCTTGAGAATCCTTATAATCATTGTTTTGAACTCTGTCTCTGGTAGGTTGCTTGCCTCCATTTTGTTTAGTTCTTTTTCTGGAGTTTTCTCCTGTTCTTTTACTTGGGACATATTTCTATGTTTCCTCATATTGGTTGCCTCTCTGTGTTTCTATGTCTCCCAGCTTTGGCCTGGTGACCTTATATAGTAGGTGCACAGTCCTCCTGGTCACCTGCTCCAGGAATCTCCCTTGTGTGGGCTGTGTGGGCCTTCCTGTTGTAGTTGAGCTTTGATTGCTATTGGAATGTCAATGGGTGGAATTGACCCTCATGCTGACTGGCTGTGGGGTTTGGCCACATCCAGTGCTTATAGGCTGCTGTCTAGGGGGCTTATCCCACTGAGTGCCTGTCTAGCTCTGGTGCCTGTCGAGACCACCCGTTGTGTGTACTGCTTGTGTGTGTGGGGGGTAATTTGGTGGTGCTCTGCTGTGGTCTGAAGTCAATCTCCAGGTATATTGGTTCTGGGGCTTCTTGGGAGGGGATCTGGTGCAGGCCCAGGTCATCCATTGCCTGTGTCCAGCTGGGGGCTACCTGGTAGGAACTACAAAGTGATCCATGGTTTTTCACTGCTTGTGCTAAACCTGAAGGCATGTGGGAGAGGTCACACTACAAACTGAGGATATCTGCCACCAGTACTACCAGGTTTGGGGTAGCTCCACAAAAAGCAACGACACCCCGAGTCCTGCTGCCACCTGCCAGCTCCCTTAAAGTTCAGCCACTCATAAACCTTTGTGTGGTATACAAGTTGAATGAGGCAGGGACTCATGGAGTCACTACAGCGGGAAGTGTTGTGCTAACCAAGTTAATGTGGACTGGTTTGGTGCCAGTGCTGAGCCTGGAGCTACTCAGCAAAAGTCTCAGAGCACACCGAAGCCAGGTGTTGCCTGCCTGGGGCTCTTGGACTCCGATAGTTTTCCAAGAAAGAGTGCAATGCGGGCAGGGCTGGCTGCTCATGGAGAAAGTGCTCCATTGTTGGGGGTTTTGGGTGGGGCAGAATTCCAGTGAGTCAGTGGGGAAGAGCAGTGGATCTCACCAGGCCAATCAGATTCAGATTTGGACATAAGCGTAGAGGGAGGGCTCAACACATTATAGATGGCGGCTGCCTGCAGGCTCTTCCAGAGGAGGACTTCTCACAGGTAAAATAGGTCTGTCCTCCAGCCCTGGCCTCAAAGCCACACACCTTAGCCTGCTCCCCATATGCCTCTGATGCCCCCAAGTCGCTCTCCCTCTGCTGGAGTCCAACATGAGTGCCTGCGAGTGAGTGAGTCTGTGCATGGGCCCTTTAAGAGGACGTCTGGGTTTCCTGCAGCCTCCTGTCCTATCTGGATGGTTGGAATCCCCATTGTTTTTCACAGCCTAATGTTGTGGGGCTTCTCTTTCCATCACCAGTACCCTGGGCTGGGGAGCCTGGAGTGGGGCTGGGGTCCTTCACTCCTCCAGGGGGAACCTCCGCAGCTGAGGTATTCCTTCCAATTTTCATCCACCACACAGAGGTTTGGGGCCAGCCTGTTTCGCGTGTCTGCCCCTCCTACCAGTCTCACCATGGCTTCTTCTTTATATCCTCAGTTATAAAACTTCTGTTCAGCCAGACTTCAGATGGTTCTCCAGGTTGATTGTTCTATAATTTAGTTGTAATTTTAATGTGTTCATGGGAGACAGCAGGCACAGTATTTATGTATTCTGCCATCTTGGATCTCTCTCAACTTTTTGAAAATATGGAATACATACTATTTTATATCCTTAATGATCATTCTAATGTCTATGTCAGGTTTCACCAGTTTTGATTTATTGATTTTTCTCTTCATCATGGGCCATATTTTCTCAATTCTTTGCATGCCGAGTAACATTTGATTGGGTGCTGTCTTCAGTATAAACCCAGAGAGGGTTAGGTCTCACTTTCTGTATAAAACCAGAGGGGGCAGGTCCATCCTTCAGTATAAACACAGAAGGACAGGTCGGGGACCCCAGGAGCTGAGGTCCCAGAGGTCAAAACTGTGGCTACCTATATACATCACCCCATAAACACATGAAACCATCATGGAGACAGGCATTTATGAAGGTGATGTATGTTTTCTTAATGTTTTGGAAAAAAAAAAAGCAAACTGAAAGGGAAAGCAGTGGAAAATATTTCTTAAAATAAACCAGGGACCAGTGACAAAACTGCCAGGGAAGCTGGCGTCCTCTAAATAGACACCCATGCAGGCGGGCTGGCTCTCCAGGCGGCACACTGCCCTACAAAGGAGCCCTGGCAAATCCCTCTCAACTCACACAAAACGGCAAAGCACCTGGTTAATGGGATGACAGACTGGTTAGTGCCCCACAGCTTCAGCGGGAGAAGCAAGCCTTCCCTCACCCTTCTCGTTGAAAGGTGTGTGCCAGGCGAGGAGATAGTTATCCGGCTTCAGCTGCGAGCAGCCTTCAATGGTAGCTGGGTCTGCTCGATATTCTGGAAGCTTCTCGAGGACTTCCACATAGCGTTTCACCATCTCCCGGTACAGGTCATCCAGGCACCAGTAGTCTGAAGAAAAAAGAGGAAGGCAGGGTCAGAGTGCGTGGGAAGGGCATCTGCCTCACAAACCCCAACACAGCAGTGACAACAGAAGTGACAGCAAGCATTAAGTCTCTGAGTCGGTGGGAGAGGAAGAAGATTTTAGCAATCCATCTCACATGGCCCTGGCTGCCTAGAGAAATTTAGCATGCAGACAAATTATTCGCTTCAGATTTCACGTATGTTTTAGACATTATAGTTTGTTGTGCTTATTAGTCTAGTTACATATGAGAATCTAGAAAAAAACCACGATCCTCATATACAGCTAACAGTTATATCCATGTGAGGACAGGCTGGACTAAAATCTGCCTGTTTCTTCCTTGGGCTTTTCAGAACCTACATCTAAGGCACAGGAAACAGTCTTTCCCACCTACGACTCCCTTCTTCTCATATCAGTGAAGCATCCAGTGCTTGCCAGCCATTGTCCCAAACTGCATCCCACACCACATGGAGGCATTCTGGGGACAAGTGTGCTCTCCAGCCCCTCGAAGACCATGAAGATCACGGGACACAGAAGACAGAGAAACCGTTGCCCACTGAGCGCCCGCTGTCAGCCGGGTACTCTGCCCTAGATGGTCTCATGCAGTCTTCCCACAACAATGTGAGGCTCTTCTTTGTCATAATTTTTCCCCCAGATAAAGCTCAGTAAGGTTATATGACTTGCCTAAGGCCAGAACTAGTAAATGGATTTCAGTTGTAAACCTGAGCATTTCTGCCATTAAATTAATCCACAACATGGTGCTTAGAGGCCACACATGCTCCAAAATTGGGGCTCAATGTGCTTGGTCATATGGGAGAGCAGGACTGGGGCCGCGTTGGGGCTCCTGTGCCAGGCGAGGTAAGCAGGTACAGGGTATACCTGCCAGTGCAGTTCTTACAGCCACCAACAAACCCATTCTGTGCTAAAACTGCATTTCAGGCCTTTGAGCTGGCATCAGGAGCCAGCTACTGCCTCTCCTCTCAATGAAGGTGGATTCCCCATCTTTGGAGGGGGTGTCGGGGGAGGGGAGAAACCACCTCTCGGCCATTCTGGGTTTAGAGTAGGCAGTGGAGTACTGTTGGCATGAAAGCCCACTGACCTTCCTGCGGCCTGACCAGGGCCTTCACTAGTCTGCCTCACAGGCAGGGTCTTGACACAGAGGGGTGAGGGGCATTAGCAATGTACTTGGCAAACTCTCAGCTCCAGGACGAAAGCCTCAGTCCTGGCAGCAGCTACAGCAGGTGGCACCCTTCTCCCCTGTAGCTGTGACCCTTTGGAGACAGGACTGGGTGAAAGTGGCTCAAAGTCTTTTTGTCTTATTCTCTGATCTCTTCACAGCAAGGGAGATTCCATGAAGCCTGGCCCACTGCTCCTATACTGGACACACTCTGCATGGCCCCAGATCTGAGCGAGGGACAGAGAAATTGTGGCAAGACCTTGGTTCTGGAGGAATGAGTTCTGTGGTCACATGGGGGGGGGTGTTCCATCAGCAACCCTGCAAGAATAAAATTAACCTCTGGCTGGGAGATGTGAGCCTGTTGGAATCTGTCCAGGCTCTCAGTCGCCAGCACTATCAATTACAAACAGCCTTTCATGTCTTAATCCAGGCAGGGTTAATAAGCCTGGCCCTTCTAGGGTCCCCTAAAAGAATTCCATTTATTCTAGAATCACATCTTTTTTTTCTTTTTTTAAGGAAAAATCTTCTTAAAAACAAAGGGGCAACTAAAAACCTTGTGCTGATTTCAGGTTAGAATTTAAACTAGAAACAGATTTTTTCAAAGCTGCAGTGTCTTGGACCCTCTTGCCTGAGTTTCTCTGCTTCATGACATGGTTACTCAACTCATTTCTTCTCTATCTTACCTGCCGAGTGTGCTAAAAGACAGATCAGCTTATGAAACTGCCTGGAAGTCTCCCAACTAACGTCATGATAAGGAAAAATCACAATACCAATATCAGGTTACTTTGCAAAAAAAAAAAAAATACCAGCTTTTCAAAACACTGATCAGGGAGCCATGGATGGAGGAAGAGAAATAAAGAGCTGAGTCTGGACAGGCCTCACCTGTTCATACTTGGGTCAGGCCCCACACTCCCCTGCAGGTTATGGACACGCAGGTAGCACTTGCTGCCGTCCCCAGTGGGCTAATGACCTCCCATTCCTCTCCCGGAGCAGCAGCAGCTGCTGGGCTATGACAGTTGGAGCTGGTGTTCCTCAGACTCATAAGACATTGTAGAAAGACAGACATTAACTCTAGTGCCATGAGCCACCTTCCCATAATAACCTAAGTGCTCGCGCAAGCTGTACTTACGCTGTCCCATTTCTCCTCACATTACCCTATGACGAAAGTGTTATCATCCCGAAGTAAGGCTCAGAGAAGGGATGCGGTTTTCTGGTTAGTAAGTGGTGGAGAGCTAGGAGTGTCACGTTCCAGAGTCCCTGATGGGAAGCCCCCCTCCTTCATCCTTGGGTGACAGGCGCAGGGCCACGTGCGCTGGGAGCCTTTGGTACATGCGTGTGGAGTGAGCTCTTGGCTGATGAATTGTGTATATTGGATTATCCACCTACCTTGTGGGGGGATTGGCTACTTCCTAGGTCAATATCTGCTTTCCTTCAACACTGCCCTTTACAGACACACCCAAAAGTAGGACGTCACACAGGCTGCACCTGCCCTTTCTCATCACCCTCACTCTACAGCAGAGCCGTGGTTTGCCAGACCACACAGCTCTATGGTTTATCAGCTTAGGGCACTTATTAGCGAAACTTACTAAATATGCCAAGAGGTAGTTGCACTTGTCTGTCTTTGGAAAACATGTTTAAGAGCCACTGACCGTTGGACTCCTTGAAATACTGGCATGTCTGGTAACCTCAGGAGGTCGGGACAGAGCTTAAGAACATAGGTGTGGGAGGCAGGTTATTTGGGCTCTAATCCCTGCTCTGACACTTACTTGGCTGTGCAGCATTGGGCAAGTTACTTAACCTCTCTGTGTATTGGTTCCCTTATCTGTAGAATTGTAAGAAGTCAACTTTCTGAGTGATGTGAGGATTAGATGATTTTACAAATGAAGTTAGAACAATGCCTGGCACAGATTTAGTGCCACATCCAAGTTAGTTCAGAGGCTTTTTTTACTGACTACAATTTGTTATATAAAGAAAAAAAAATGGGCTGTTTGAAAACTGAACTTAAAATGAAATTTCAACTTAGATTTTTATGAATTGAAAACAATATATGCTTGCTTGAGTTTCTGGAGAAGTATGACTCTAGGGCAGTGGTTCTCAACCTGTGGGTCGCGACCCCTTTGGGGGTCGAACAACCCTTTCACAGGGGTCGCCTAAGACCATCGGAAAACAAAAAGATACTTACATTACGATTCATAACAGTAGCAAAATTACAGTTATAGAGTAGCAACGAAAATAATTTTATGGTTGGGGGTCACCACAACATGAGGAACTGTATTAAGGGGTCGCGGCATTAGGAAGGTTGAGAACCACTGCTCTAGGGGGTGGCTTTCACGAGTGTTCTCTCATGACGTGCGAGCCAGGGGGAACTGCCCTGCACAGCAGTCACCCCGTTCACGCAGTTGGCAGCTGTGATCACATAGAGGGAACGCATCTCCCTCCTTAAAAACAATGCCCCAAATGTTCACAGTCCTCTTAAATGCATAAATGTCACGTTGGGGGTAGGTTATGTCCTATTTCTGCTAAGAGGACTTGACTCGATCTAATCTCAGAGCACGTTATCTTCAGGAGTGCCCTGGCCTGTGCCTGGTACTGTCCTAGGGGTAACCACACAGGGACATGTTGTGGACTCTGCCATCCACAAAAACTTACTAACATGCTAACAGAGATGAGGGCAAACGTGGAGAGAATGTGTGGACTGTGTACTTGTGCACACACAGCGTCAGACACAAATGAAGGCAGCAAAGTTTAAGAGTAAGGATCAGCTGCATGCACCTAAAACAAGCTGTGGTTTTGTTTTGAAAGCCATGCTCTCCAGCAGGTTCGTTGGGGGCCGGCATTCCTGCTCTGGGCTGCTAGAGTGTTATTTGAACACAACAGACACGGGAATCTTCCTGAATGCATCAGAAACAGGGAACATTTGGATTTCATAGTTGTGGAGACTCAGAAAGACACCTCACCATTTTCAACACACTGTGAAACCTTATCTTATCTGTGGTGCTTTATCTCTGTCCCAGCTATTTAGGAACCAGTCACAAAGTAGATGACATTCCTGTACAATGACCATAGAACTAAACTGAGCATGTTCACAGAAGACACATAGAATGGCGAGGTGATCTCATAAGTGAGGTCTCATTGACTTAATAGTCGCCCTCAGATTTTAATATACTAACAACAGGTTTTTAAAGAGCAAGTAACTTGTAGGGAAGTTGTGCTACACAGTTAACCATCTACTGTTTCTCTGAAATTCATATAAAACCTTGATCCTAAAATCAATCTGCTACTAAAGTATGTTTCAAGAAACTTTGTTTCCCCCTCCCCCAAATCCAACCAATTTTATAGCATTTTCCTATGACATACTTATGTATAAGCAACTATCCAAGCTACATCCTATTTTGGTAGCTACATTTTAACCATAGTTCACTGGAATTTAGAAATAATCCCCAAATAATATTACCTTGTCAAAATTTCAGACTGGCTTATTACTTTATGTTCTATTCAAATAAATTCAGAAGAAGGCTTACTATCTGCAGTGAAAAGTTGAGCCCTCACCCAAAACCCTCCGAAATGAGAGATTTAATTAGTTTTAACTCTAGAGTCAGAGGGCTCAGCTTAGTGAACATTTCAGACACACATGAAAAGTCACTGTTTAAGAAACTGACTCTGCAGATAAGCAAAGAAAAATAATATTGTCATCCAAAAAGACTACGTAAGAAACACAATCTGTCGCACGTCTGATTTGCTGAGGTACCCTGGTGTATATTAAATTGCCACTTTTAGCTGTGGCATCGGGTGACACCATGGCTGAAAGGCCACATCACCTTCAAAGCCCCAGTGCTTATTGCAAGAGCTCCGGTTCACCCGACACGCTGAGGGGCACAATGGCCGAGCCTTACCTGTGGTGAGGGCCCCGGCTGTCGTCATGTGCATGATGGTATTGTCACTCACAGGCCATTTCTCCAGCGACAGTACAAGGTGGTCCAGCCCCCCGAGTTTTTGCAGCTCCTCCTGGATCTTCGTGCCTGTAGAACTGTTCTCCTTGCGGGTGTTTCTGTAACCAAGAGCATCCCCAACACTCGCCAGCAGCATCGCAGCCTGAAATTTCTCCATTGCAGAGGAGGCTCTTTTGCCCCAGCCTTTGTTGCTTCCCAGCAGTAGCAGCCTTCAGTCCACCTCGCTGACCTCTGTTCTGGTCATTGTGTCACTGTCAGGAGCTCCCTCGAATGGCCAGGCACTCCTCTTCTGTCTCTGCAGGTGGCACTAATGAGAACACTTTTTTGGAGTCTGCAGCTCACAGCGCCTTCTGAAGAGCCACGTGGAAGCGTCAGCTTCCTTCAGCGTCTGGACAGACTCTAGCTCTTCACCAGAGGAGCCTTCGGGCTTAGTCAGCATCCAGAACAATTCCAGATGCTCTCTCACACAGCAATGACTTTGAAGTGGTGAATCTCTGTACAGTATTCTTGAAGAAATGCCTACATTTCTAAAGCTTTAAGGTGTAATTCACACATCGCAAAATTCACCCTGGTTCAGCACACAGTATGATGAGCTTGTGTAAAGGTTGCTGTGCAACTTTCACCACAGATCAGATTTAGAGCACTTCTGTCACCCCGAAGTCCCTTTTGCCCATCTACTCCCTGTTCCCCCCACCACACCCCCAGGCACTCGTTCATCTACTTTGTCTCTCCACTTTTTTTCCGTCTAGAATTTCAAGTAGATGGAATCATGTACTATGTGGCTTTTTGTGTCTGGCTTCTTTCACTTAGTATAATGTTGAGGTTCCTCCATTATGTACATGGTTTTGTTTTTTGGAAAACTATTTTTTTGGATTATGTTTATGATAAAAAACTTAGAAAATGCAAAGTGTAAAGAAACAAAGCTCTTCTAGCTCCAGTGTGAAAGATTACTTCGTAATCTTTCAATGTTCAACAAAAGGCTTTCCAAATAACCAGACTTTAGATTGCAAAGTGTGAGAGTGGAATGCAAAGCCTCACAGTGGCATCCATGATGGTGCCATCATTAGGCTTCATGTATTTAATCACCCCGCAGATTCACGGGAAGAACATTCAGTTATGAAGAGGCTGGGGGCAGGGTGGGTGGGGGGAGGCAGAATGCTGAAACGTGGGCACACATCAGACCAAGAGAAGTGAGATGGCATCACACCTGGACTTAAGAAACACATCTAATAAAGTGAAATTTTTTTTAATAGTAACAGGCTGCATTTAAATGAACATATAGTATTGTTAAAAATGAGGTTCTGGAATATTATTCTAACTAGCACAATTCTGAGATTCTGAAACAAATAGTCCTTCAAAACCAGCACAGATGGTCATGGGTTACTGGGTAAGTGGGTTCCCTAGCCATCAGGACAAGGCAGACAATAGCAGCCCTGATTTAGACAACCACTACCACAGAGAGAGCAGCAGCATTTGGCAGAAGTATTTGTTGTTGAGGGCAGATGTACAGTCTAGGCCTGACTTCTTTTGCTTCTTCTGAGACAGTGGAAACCTTTATCGAAGATGCTAAGAGCAACTCCATACTATTTGGCCTAGGTCAGAAAATAGGAGGTGAGATGAGTTCACTGATTTGTTTAACATTTACTAAGCCCTGACTGTATGCTACAAGCTGTGGATATAGCAACAAAAAGAAAAAAAATCTACCCTTGCCTCCATGGAGCCTGACATCTTGAGATACGTATAATATTACATCTAAATTTTTACTGAGTTAAAATAACACAATGAAATGTATTATGTCACCAAGGCAGAAAGAGATGTCTATTCCAGAAATTCTTCGCAGACACTCTATAAAGGCACAGGTAACATATATTTATGAAACCTATTATGTTTGGTTAATTTGTGTATTTTCAATATGTTTATAGCTTGCATTTCAGTGTATTCTGGTTATATAATTCTTATCAACTCAAGGGCTGTATATTATGAGATATTTAATTTTTCACATGGAAACAACTATAGTTAGCACACTACATGATTCTTAAAAAGAAAACTAAATGGCTGAAGCTGTCAATTGTGGGACATGATCATTTGACTAGGGTGGTAGGCTGGGCATAGGTGGGAACGTTCCTTAAGGGGCTAGTTTACTGTGCTTTGGAGGTGGCTTTCCTGTCGGTCCCATGACAAGATCAAGACTCTGACATCTAGTGGTGAGTACTTGAGCGACCAAAAATAGAATTAAAAGGACACCATAACACCAGAGAAAATAATTTATTTTAATGTTTCCAAAGTTCTTAGCACTTTCACAGCATGCATGACTTAAAGGTATATAATAGAAGAAAAAGAAACCCATAATTTTTTGAAGAGCCTTTGTTCAATTACTAATGTTTTGATATTTATTGATAAAGAAGTGAATAAAACATTTTTTCCCCATGTAACTTTAAATCTTAAGAATAAAAGAGTCACAGACCTCTACAATTTATACAGGGTTATCTGAGTTCTATAACCTTCTCTGAGTAGAACACTTACATGTCAAGAATACATGAAGCCTTGAAGGATGCTTTAAAATTGTTGAGGTTTCTTTCTATTAAAGCTAGCTTTTATTATATAAAATATATGCTCTTCTAGAATCACACTTACAGATAGAGATGACCTCGCTTTTCCTTTTGCAGACATGAAAGTGGAGGCCTGGGAAGAGGTGAAGTGACTTACCTGGGTCCTACACCTAGTTAGGGGCCGATGACCTCAGCCTAGACTGCAGACTCGAGGCCTCAGCCCCTTTCCATTCCTCCACAGCCTGCTGCCCTCTTTGAAAGATATCTATTCAAAAGTGTAAATAGTTCACATATAATAAGTATAGGCAAACTTCATGTTGTACATGGGTGCTTCCTAAAATACTGAGTGAATCACATTTTTGAAAGTCAAATCAAACTACATTTCAGACACACTTCCTGTTTACAAGAAATCTGAAGTGAATTTCTTCTCTCCCGTGAAATAACCTCAATTCATCTGTCTCATAAACTGGGTTGCGGGTGGGCAGCAGGCACACATGTGACATGAAGGTCTTTTCAAATATGAGGTAGGGTCCACACAGTGACCTTCAAAACTCTACACAGAACTTTTCCAAAAGAGCAGGTGCATTGCAGTCCTCCGGCCTTCGGACCGCACCCCATATATCCGTGTTGCTCTGGACGGTCCTCTTTGACAAGGCAAACACCACAAAAATCAGATGGCAAAGGTGAGGCCAAGACAGACTTCAGCTCACAAATGACACGAAGGTTTCTAGTTTGGTGGGGTATTTTTGGACAATGATGTGTATTTTAGCTTCCAAATGTGCACAACCATACAAAGGGCTGGAAGGTGGACATTATAGATATCACACATAGTTGAAAGGAACCAACTTACTTGATTTTTTAAATCTCTATAATTCATCATTCATAAAAGAAATATTTTTCATGGAAAATGTCTTTTAAATGTAATAAAATACATTTTTTAAAAAGCATACTTTACGAAACTTCTTAGGAAGTTCAAATGACATTATTAGAAGTAAAATAGACCCGCTGACTTGTAAACAGTTTAAAATAAAACTTCCCTGGAATCACATACTACACATGCCATCGCTGTGCAAACTGTAATGGCTATTAAAAACTATAAAATGATTTTCAGATGAACAGCTAGAGAAAATTAAAGGAAAAATAGATCTGGTAAATCTAGATATTTGATAATTCAAAAAATATAAATCTTAAATTCCTGGCACCAAGTTTAAAAAATGTTGGAATCCACGACAAGATCTTCTTCTTTTGGGCACATTTTAAACAGCTTTGACTTGTATAAAAATACAACATCCTACCAAGGACACAAATAGTTTTTTTTTTTTTAAGTGTAATTACATTATAATTCAGCAGAGTATGGTAACTGCTGGTGTTCACCTTAAATCATGAATTAACAGCATGCTCTGCAGTCCTGCAAACAGGCTCTAGGTTACTGTTTCATAAATATAAAAGTCATGCAGAAATCTCTTAAAGCAGCAGCTATGTGACGCATCTTCAGACATTCCGAAGCAGCTATCTCCTGAGGGTCTCCGTACAGTGTCCAAAACCAGCCACCCTTTTCTTTAAGCAGAGTGAGATGGTCATTCCAGTTTCATGGCTGGTCAAGGATGACTTCTGACATCAGCGACACATGTGCACAGTAACTGACCACAATGTCTCCTTGCAGGATGCAGTTCATTTTAGAATCGTAGTCCATCTTCCTTTCCTGCCTAGAAAGGGCTCTGTTTACCACCTGTGACTACTGGCCGTGCATATTCTACAAAATCATCTATAAGAACAGGCCATGCTCCTAAAGGAAAACAAACAGATTTTTAAAAATGTTTTAGAGAATTTTTTTTATATTCAAAGCACTTTTTTCATAATCCGACATTTATATTTGAAGAACTCCAATGATTTTAAGTTTCAGTTAACAGCTAAAGTTACCCATTTCTTCTGCTCTAGCCAGACCAGGGCTGGCAGATATTGTGTGCTTGGATGGACATGGCCCTGTCTAACAAGAACGGCACACAGCGCTAGCTGGCCCTCGTGTGCCCACTGCAGCCTCCCGGCCCTCAGCCCCTGCTCCAGGCTGTCAGGAATGGACAGAGGACCCTCTGCCTTCCCAGGCTGAGCCAGTGCTGCCCCTTTCCGTCTGAGTTCTGGCTACCAGGGGTGCTGTTTTCTCCCTGAGCTGTGCCTCCTCCCCGAGTCCGGCTCACCCCCGCCCAGTCCAAGTGGCCTCCTTTTAAAGGTCCGTGATGCTCAGACACGACACAGTGGCCGGCTGTACACTCACTACTTGACATGTTGGCTTTTTAATGTAGATGTGCCTTGTCTCACCCACCGTAGCTAAAGCTCCTAAAATCTGGCCTTCAGACTGAATTCACCTATATTCACTCACTCATTCAACACACACTGACTAGGTGCCTCCTCTGTGGTGGGGGGGTGGCAGGGAGAGTGAAGAGGGAGGGATGTGAAGTGGTGAGGACACAGAGAGACAGACACCATGCCAGCGATTACCACCTGTGGGGAGGGCTGTCACTGAAGAGCCTTCACTTTCTAGAACAAAGAGGAGTGATGAGGAGAATGCCCACAGGGGGTCACCTCCTAGCGGGGGCCCACTGCACAGCAGGCATTCCAATGTTCCCTGACTGAGTGTCCTGAAACATTTGGGGGTTGGGACTACTAAATATGTGATTATGTTCATATAAGTAAGTATCAGCTGGAATCATCAAATAAGCTCAAACAGCCTAACAACCTAAAGCATTAAATGGGCTTACGTACTCGGAGCAGTGACTTCCAAACACCAGTCTACTGTACAGTTCTGCC